CCTCCCCCAGACAATAAATATTAAACGGTCCCTAATCACCAATTATCCCCCTCCCCCTAGGGCATCCGAGACTCGAAAGGACGGAATATTCCCATTATGAGACTTTGATCGGTGATTGTCCTTAACCTGGTAGAACCATTAACCATGACAGTTATTTGAAGGCAGAATTATTTTTCTGAAAGTTCTTTCTCTAGAAGAAATAAAAGTGAATGGAGATTTAAAAAAAAATACAGTCAAAACTTAATGTCTTTTATTCTTTAAAGTAAATTTTAGTAACATAATGAACAACGATGTCATTGAACCTTTAACATTCTCAGGTATATGTATGGTATTATGCACTATTATTATAGATGCCGATTCGGAGAATGAACTATCTTTAAGATAAAACTGGGCCTTAAAGTCTTTAATTCTCATCTGGATAATGAAAAGCGGAGCAATGTTAGTATCTGAGCAACTGCTTGCCTACCCCTCCCCTGACCCAAAAACAGTCAACTGATGACATTGATCTTGAAACGCGGTAAATTTTGATGTCAGATTTTGTTCTCGTAACAAAGTACTTACAGTGTAATAGTTAGCTGACATTACTCGCAATTTTAAATGACATTGTTTTAAAACATTCCGAATTGATAGTGGAATGCAGCAAATAACTTGAGCCCAGAACCAGGAAGCTTTCGAAACTTTATTCGTGGCGCATCAGTTAGCTTTCACTAATAAGATCAATTCGTGTGTAGCAATAAAAGATTACACATGCGGTGATATTTTCCTTCTCTCATCGGCAATTATGCTGTTTACAAAACTCGGATTTATGAAAATACTTCCTAAGCGCGGATCAAACGGTCATGATTGTCGCTGATAGTTAGAACTATCAATGACTATATTGTTTGCGTTCAAACGGTTTGTGATAGTTGAAAAAAATCACGCAATGAGATAAAAACCATCATACACTATCATCCGCTCGTTCAAACGGTAAAAGAAAATCATCAATTATCATGTGGAATTTGACCGTGTCCAAACTACGAGATACTTGATGATAGTCGATAATAGTCGATGATAGTGCATGATGGTTCGTGTACAAACGCGCGTAATTGTTGAAACTATCCTCGACTATCATGACCGTTTGAACCAGGCTTAAGCGCGGATCAAAACAGCCAAAACATAAGGATCATGTGAGAAAAAAAAATAGCTTTCATCAGTCGTACATCTTTCAACTGTGTTCCTCTACTTGTAGAAGAGACAACTTCAGGACAATTATTCTCTTTAAGCAATGTTTTGTAATACTCACGCCAAAATGCCATCTGGGTTGGTCGATAGTTACTCGCATGCGTCGGTTTTCCTTGAATTAGGAAATAAGCCAAATGACTCTGGTTGAATGGCGGCCATGAAGCCCCGAAGACGGGCTCAGGCGTCGGGTTTCCGAATTTGGCAAAGTTCGTGAAAAGTGTTAAAACCGTGTCACTTATGTTGCGGTCGGCTTCGTCGTAATTTTGTAACACGGTGAGGTTCATAAGTGGGAAACCAAACTGGTATGGCGTATCGTCCTTGTGGCGTACTCCCAACCATTCGGGCTCTGGATCGAGCTTGGAGCGATGCGCAAACTCGTACAGAAAAGCCCGTTGCTGCGTGCTGTGGTACCTCAAACTTGCATGCGCGGGCTCCGCCACACAGGAGTCCGTGATCACGTCAGAAAAACCGCGTTTAAGTTTATGACTGTCCGAAGCGTAAGGCCAAGGTGTGTATTGAAAAACGGCTGCGTCTAGGAGAGAGTTAGGAACCTCATGTCTGTTTGGAGTCTCCAAAGTTTGTCCGTATTTATTGAGGATGTATCTGAAGGCAAATAACAGGTTTTTGCGGAAAGTTGTGGGCGTGACGTTTTCAATTTGACTCGGGAAAAAATATGCGCCTTCTTGGCTTGTAAAACCAGCCATTAGTGGAACTTTGTTGAAGCGGCCAGATTTTCTGAGCTCCTCAGGGGTATCTGGAAGAAAGTTGCCGTCCACCACAGGTCTCCAAATGTTGGCTCTGTCAAGTAAAAGGAGTTTTTGAGCTTCCTTTGAGCGAAGGCATGATATGGTGGCAGCGGTTTCACCTGTGGCACACCCAAGCTTTTTAGCCAAATCGTTCGTGTGTACAACTGCAGTTATATTGGAGCCTATTGCGTAAGGAGAAAGTTCCACTCCACTAATTGCAATAGCGCGATGGAAGAGGCCCTTCGAGAGAGGAGACAGGACATGCAGTCCCACGCTGGAACCACCGGCGCTCTCACCAAATATGGTAACACTTGAAGGGTCTCCTCCAAACATTTCAATGTTATCTTTGACCCATTTCAAAGCTTCGATCTGATCCAACATTCCATAATTCCCTGGGGCTACAGAGTCGCCGGTTGTAACGAAACCAAACGGACCCAAACGATATTGTATAGTGACGAGCACCACCTCCCACAGGGGTACAATGTCCCCGGGGGACACAACAGGAGTACCCACTTCGTATCCCCCTCCGTGAATGTACACCATGACCGGGTATAATCTCTTTACGGCCCCGAAACTTCCGTTGTGGTGGGGTGTATACACGTTCAGGTACAAACAGTCCTCGCTCTCAGGATGCGAAAAATTCGGCCAGAAGAGTATGTTGTAGTCACTAGGCTGTGTGCAAATACTTCGATAATAGGAGGCGTCGTAGGTAGAGGGTTGCCAAGTGGAGACTGGTTTTGGAGGTTTAAACCGCAGTTCGTTCACCGGTGGCGCGGCGTATGGAATACCAAGGAACTTGTTCACGGTTTTGATGGGTTTGTTGATACCTTGAAATCGACGGATTACTCCACGAACTGATCCATATCTCGTGGTAATGACAACAGTGTCATCCGCCGACTGGACTAAAATGGACTCACCCATTGCAAACACGAAGAAAGCAGCAATCAACATTGTCCTCGACGCCATAGGTACTCTCCCTTTACGATAACTCACAAGGCAGCTGCTTTTTGGCTCACCGAAGACCAGCTTCTTTCGATGTCTTAATATTCCGACAAATGTCGCTGAAAGATCACTTAATTAGTGGAAATTTCAGGCACTCTCCTAAGCTGAAATATCTGTCCAATGACAAGTATCTCTCAAGGTCTTTGCCCTGGAAAATTAACAGAAAAATGCATACCAGCGTTATATGTGGCACGTTGGGCGGAGACTATTTGTCAGCTCAGATCTGTTATCCAACTATTAACCTGAAAGAATCATAATTTAACTCACTCGTAAGTAGGCGTAGCACCTTCAATCGGGAATAATTTATCTTCTGCTCTGCCAAAACAGTCTTCTTACTGTTTACGTGATTGCGAGTTCACCATGTAAGCCACTGGTAAGCCTTTAAGAAACGACAGCTATGCGTTTATCGGCTTTTTTTTTCCGGCAAACAAATATATTTAAACAAAGCATAATGAACGAAAATACACTTGGAGATATTTGGAATACGATCAAACTTTAGCGGCAGTAGCTTTTTCAAAGGTCATCTAAATTATCAGGCCTGAATTTCACGAACTGTCCTCTGAATATATTTCTACGACATTATTAGGGATCACATTGATACGAGACTCAAAATGAGTGATTATAATCGCTTTTTTCGAAGCTAATTTCGGAAGCACTTGACGAAGTCACCTCGTATCTTTTCATCAAGCAGAAAAAATTAATATAGTATTTCGTTTTCGAGCATCGAGGCTTTTCAGTCAAATCTATCACGCTTTAACAGTAGGTGCAGTGAACTCTTACCCAGATAACAAAAGGAGATAAGAAAGATCGTTTCCTGTCATAATTCATCGACGTATTTGCGTCATTTGTCATTTTTGCTGGTTTTTCTTAATTACTTAATAACAATGTACGCAAAATCTACAAACGGTTTTTCACGCGCGAACTGCCAAGAACCTCAGCAATGCAAACAACCCTTAAAGCTTGATTGACAACGTACTTTTCTCGAAAGCGGCAGCTTTTATTGTACACGATACTCAAAAGATTATTTCCCTTTGTGCAAATCAATTTGTAATTTTTTCAAAAGTGACATTTTCACGACTCAAACAAATTTTGAATAATAGAATTTGCGTTTTAGTCGTTAACAGTGCCTTAGAAGTTAAGAATACTTGGAGAGTTTTGCACAAACGAAGCAAGAGTACAGTATTGATAACACGTGTTAGCTGCAGCAATATATTTCAGAACCAACAATTTGCTGCCTTTTCAAATCTGAGTTCTTCAAAAGAATAAAAAGTTAAATAATTACTTAACACCCTTTTGTGATCTGTCAACACAAATAAACTCTAGCTTTCATAACTTGGAACGAATTGGCCATCAT